GCAAGTCATCGCCCTGGGGAACCAGAGCCGTAGGCGGCGGCGGCGGACCACGGGTATACTGAGGGGAGGGTCCTTGGGGAGATTGGGGAGCTGGCTCTTGTACATTGCGGCTTCTGTCAATGGCGTCTTGCCAAGCAGCTTGATACCGTTTGAATCCGCGCTGTCCTTTCTTCTCGGCGGATGTCTTACGCTTTGTTTTCTTCACCTTTCCTTTTGGCTTTGGCGTGGCGGGTGTTCGTGGGCCCTGGTCAAGTCTGGGAGATTGGTGGTGACCGGGACCAGGCTGGCCAGAGATATTCTGTACAGGCCTGCTGGGAACGGGATTCGTAGAATGATACACAACCTCTTCGATTGATGAGTCGGACTCGTTGCCAGATTCCTCACCTTCTGAGTCGGAAATCACAACAACTTCCCTCAATATCTCATCCAGCTGGTCCCGGCCGCTCTCCTCATCTCCTCGCCACTTGACGAGGGTGTCTAAACAAAGGGCCTCGACAACTTTGCGAGCATTCTGCCATGTGGTCTCCCTCAGCAGAGTGTCATACCTTGTGTGAGTATGACGAATATGAGCGAGGACTGCAAGTTGAACCCTTCGGGCGAGTGTTATATCATCCGAAAGGCCTACTTTTTCCTTGTTGTTTTTGTTCGTTGGATCCTATAAGAATAAATACCTTGCCTGTATGAAGGTGTTAGGGAGGAGAACAAACCCGTCTGAAAGCATGTTCGATGATCATCCGTCGATCGGTGTTTGGGATTCTGGGAAATAGATCGCGCAAGGCAGCGTCAACTTGTGCATCGTACTCCTCTTGAGATTCGGGGATGGGTTCGGGAATACCGCAAGCGGCTGGAAGCATGTTCTCCATGACATGTCCTAGACCCGCCCTGGCTTCCTCGACGATTGTTTCTCTAACATGATGTCCGATGCGATGGACTTGGTGAGCCAAAATATTTGAGCCGGATGCTTCTTTGGCGTTCTTCATGTGGCAAGGTTAGTAACAGAAGGCTGAGACGAATACATCTGTGCTTTGCATACCGATACTATAAATATCATGGCATCTTTTTCTCGGGATAGTTCTTTGCATGCTTGAGTTAGTTCAGGGTTGCCGGCAGGGACAAACTCGAAACCAGGAGGGGGTGTTTTCTTTGTAGTAATCTATACATGTTGGTGAGTGCTATGATGACCTCGTTGCGTAACAGTCGCATTATACCTGGAATTCAAGCTTCTTTTTCTTGTCCTTGTTTTCAACAAATTCGAAGTACGAGTGATGTTTCGTTGTCTTTGGAAGAGCTGGTTTGGCAACAAAGCCAGGGGGAACAGGTGCTGTATGATCATACTGAGATCTTTGTGCACGTCTATGCCTCTCCTTTGGGCCACCTGCCACAGCCGCGGGCAGGTTTCGTTTTTCTCTCCCCATTTTGTACGGCTATGGTCAGCTTACCATAGTGGCGAGTGATAGATTTTCAGTTGATATGTTCCGACGAGGGTACTGAAATAGCAACTTGATAGGACCTTCTGAGGCCTGGTAGAACGCGATATGTTTGCAGAGGACGATGCTCTTTGCGGTACCTGTTTGCAAGTGCAAGCTTGGATGGTAACCGTATCTTCAAAGTTGGAGAACACAAGCAAAAAAGAACAGGCTGTCGCGATGCGATGCTGCGCAATACTCTGCCAGGTATGCTATGCAATGCGATGCAACAATGAAATGTGACGGCCGAAACTGTTTCAATCTTTCACGAGTCGCAACAAGGCACAGATAGATAGACAGACACGGTATATACAAACCGATAAGCGCGTTCCAGTTGACACTTTGGCCGGGCGAGGAATATGTCAGACACGGCTGTTCAGGCGCGAGTGCAGTTGGGCGCGCACGGTTGTAGGACGTAAGGCTCCGACGACGTGCTCCAGATGCATGCAGATGCAGGCGAATGGGGCCCTTGATGGATGGCCTCAAGAGGCTGAAACTAGAGGCAGGCTGTCTAACGGAGCCAATCACGTGCCAGGCCATTTCATGATCACGTGAACGCCAGCACGTGATTCATCATGTGATCTTGAACTGTTTCGATCTCGAGTCCATTGAGGCGCAAGCAACATCCACGAGCATGGACCAATTTTTATTACAGCAAGGACAGTTTTCAAGCCTCCTTGCCTCTTACCTTTGCCTTATCACGGTCTTGGCAGAGGCTATGAGCTTGCTAAAATTTTCTTTGGCCAGGATCGTCAAGATTAAGCTCTCATCACCGCCGGCAGTTGTATTAGATCTGAGTAAAGCGAAAGCGAGGTCTTGGCACAAGGTTGAATCAAGAACTTCAGATCGGAAATTGTACGGAGTAGATAGATGGCCGAGAATCCAAAGAACAACCCCAAAAGGGGTAAATTCTCGAACCGTAATGTGAACCAGATGTTTCAAGAATGGTACCGATAATCAGTCGATCGACCATAATTCGAGACTCCCGCCACGGCAGAACCACCTAGCCAAAGCTTGTTCGAGGCTTCCGGTAAGTGGGATGAAGTGACGGAACCACTGTCGACGAAAGAAGAACCGTCGTTTTGTGAAACAAGTCTCGGTTGATGCATAGCAAAGCGTTTTGGATGAAACTCATAATAACGGCAAACGCCGTATCCTCTTGTGTCATTATCCATCATCGTCAGGGGCAGTGGAGAAGATACAGTAATCAGGGCGGCAGTTGAGCCAGTGCCAGGGCGACCACAAACTGGGAAGTTCTATTTTTGTCGAGACTGTCGATCGGGTTGTCTTGTCACAGGAATTCAACACTCATTGGTTGGGAGGTGGCGAAAAAACAAACCGTGTTTGAGGCTTGGATGTCAACACAGATCCGTTCCGTACGGATACTAGCAGCGTTGTAAACGCCGAAGATTACTCGGTGCCTCCAACATCTAGAGCCCGGCGACGGCATAACGGCGTTGCTAACACCCAATGTCATTCTTTGTGGCACGACGGTGACCACCAGAGAAGATGAGTGGTCCAAACCATCTCAAGAACGACGATCATTGAGCTTACTAGGGAGCCAAGACTCCAACTCTGATGACACAGCCTCATGGGTGCCCATTGATGTTACTGTGTGGGTTTACACGATTATAGCAGCGTGGCACAGTAGAAGACAGTGGGCAAACAGGAATAAAGAGCAAGCAGAGAGAGATGGAGCAGCCAGCAGCGTACGGAGTAGAACAGAAGAGGAAAAGTGAGCAGTGGGATGGACTAGGGGACTCTTCAGGCTTCTGAAATGGACTGTGCTCGTGGTGGTGGGATTTTGGGATATGAAGGCGGTGGCAGTGCAATCGATAAATGATATTGATGGTGATGGTGATCCACGCAATGTCTTTGCGGTAAGGCAAGACCTTGTCTGTTCATTTCTTATGGAAATGAGCGATTCCTTCCTGATGATGATATGATCCAAGTTGGCAATGCATCGCTTGAAGGAAAAGTAGCTGCATCTATATCCGTACGGAGTACTTGAGCATCGTAATAGTGGACTCTGGAAGCAGGAGACAAGCTTTGGAAAGCATACCAGCCAGTGTAAGGGCACAATTCCATTGTTTTGTACAGCCACGCTCGGGTCGGACGGAAGACAAGTTTCAGTACCCGCCAACGCTGATCAGTGAATTGGCTGGTATTTGTTGTTTACCTGCACTCCAGTCTGTATAGTTCACACTTCGAGGCTTCTTGTAGCAAGTCGCTGACGAGCATTCCAGCCATGATACATACCTACCTACTTAACCGATAGCGATGGGCTGCCGCTTTGCCGTCCGGTTGGAGCAGCCGCCGGATTTAACGGTAACGATGAGATTGATCTTCCCTTATCACATTGAACCATACCAAAACTATTGGGCGGAGGAATTAATTAGCCGTGCTTTTGTCTGCATCAAGCTTGATAACCTCAAACAGGAGGGGACGTTGGTGTTCAGACGCAGGCAGAAGAATAATCAGCCTGAGGCTTGACCAGATTAAGCCCAGGCCACGAAGCCTCAGAGGATGAGAGACGTAAGCTCGTAGGTGCATCTGCAGGTGAAGTCGGCGATGGACCAGAAATGCATACGAAAAAGCGCAGCCAAAGACGAGCCATGAGACTCTGAGGGACCAAAAAGACCAGCGCCGTGCCTCCATCATGGGCTTTTTGGCACCAAGCCTGTCCCAAAGGGGCAGTTGAGCGTCGTCATCCTCAGGCCGCAGCGGCGCAGACGTCTCTCGTCGTTCGTTTCGCTCTCTTGTTGGAGCTAGACTCTCGCAAGACTCGCACCTTGCTCGCTCCGCACCCCTCGGAGGGCGAAACAGGGATACGCTCGCTGCTGTCTCTGAGAGGCTCGGTCGTCAGAGACTCATCTTGATTGGCCTCTAGAGTTACGGCGCTGCCTCAATGAGTTATCCACCTCCTTGGCCCTTGGCTTCCACCCTTGGCTTGCACAACCCAAGAAAAGAGCTGACGCGTCCTCACTCCTCTCCCCCTAGTCGGATTCCCGGCCGCCGATCCATCCCTGCTCCCTGGTCAGCCCTGACAACGGCCGGCGTTACCTGACAGAGAGACCTGGATCTAGCGGTTCATAGCGCTTGAATGGAATCAATTCAGGGGCCGAGTCCCTGGAGTTGGGGGCCTTGAGCATGTTTATAGTGGATTACCTAAGTGGGCTTCAGTGGCTTTCACCAGTCTCTTCCTCCCTGACACGCCGGCCCGGCGGGTACGTACCGCCGACCAAGGCACCCACCCCATTCATAGAACACGGTTCCCTCCCCAGTTCCGGATTTTCTGCCTGGTTCCATCTTTCCCCTTCTCAACTCCCAAACAATCGCTTCTGTTACAGAACTTCCATCTCTCAACAACTACTACTCACTACTTTTCAACGAATATTCTAAACAACATAACACAACGGACCAAATCTATTGCGACAATTCTCGAGTCCACCGCTGACTATCACTTGGGCGACGAATTCAATCTCTCACTCATCACCAACACTACACCCTCCGGTATCGCCGAACTGATACAACATGTCAGGTCCTGGCCAGAATACCGTCGATATCGACGCTCTCCTCGATCTTACCGAGTACGATAACTTCCAATCTCCTGCTACTTCAGTATCGCCATCAGGAACATCAAAGGCTACCTTCGCGAGCCCTATCTCAGCCGCTGTTGCTGCTCCCGCCACCACAACTGCCCAGAGCCTGAGCGGTCCCAGTCACAACTATGACATGTACAGACAACAGACTGGCTTTGTGCCCGGTGCCATCGCCAACACAATGGCTGTTAACCAGACAAACAACACTGGCTACCAAGACTTCCGCAACATCGACTACCTAACCACCTTCAGTCCCGAGGCCGATCTGTTTGATTTCAACACATCTCCTTCGCAAGCTACTTTGGGTGCTTCGGATATGGATATGGACTTCGAGTCGCAGACCGAGACTCAACAGTTCTTCACTGTCGACCCTAGCAGCATTGAGCAAGAGAACGCTGGCCTTCCTTCACCACCCGTTTTGCCTACACAGAACAATGGCCGTCTTTGGCCTGGTGCTCACTCCCAAGCCGCTCTTGCCAAGGCTCAGCAACAACAGCGACAGCAGCAGCAGATCATTCAGCAACAACAACAGGCTCAGCGCCATGCATCGCAGCCCAAGTCTCGCGGCAAGGCCCCTCAGCCTACCGACCCCATTGTTGAGCAGAAGATTACTCAGCTCCTGAACTCTATGCGAGCCAAGCCCTCAATGCCTGAGAGCCAGGCTACCAGTCCCATGACCAACCTTCCCCGATCCAAAAAGGACGAAGAGGAGATGGATGAGGATGAGCGCCTCCTGGCTAGTGAGGAGGGCAAGAAGCTCAGCAGCAAGGAGCGACGACAGCTTCGCAACAAGGTCTCCGCTCGTGCTTTCCGTTCCCGCAGAAAGGGTAAGTTTGCTACGTCACGTATAATTGAAACAGATTGCTAACAATGTCCCAGAATACATCACTCAGCTTGAGACTGAGATCGCCAACAAGGTCAGCGAGAACGGTGACCTCCGCGCTCAGAACCGTGCTCTTGTGGACGAGAATAAGCGTCTGACTGACCTCACCCGCATGCTTCTCTCTTCGCCTTCTTTCTCCAACTTCTTGGACAATCTCAGCAGCAACCCTACCGCTGTCCAGCAGACTCCTCAGCTCAAGGTTGAGCCTCAACCCGAGCAGCGACAGGTGCCCAAGGACATCAACCCCTACAACGCTCAGCAGTCTTCGCAGCATCAGATTGGCATGGCCATGATCCCCGAGCAGAATATGGACTTCTCCATGCTCACTCTTGATGGCTCTTTCAACTTCCAGCCTCAAGTTTTTGTTGTTGACACTCCCGAGCTTCCTGATGCTATTGACGCTTCTGTTCTCTCTGGCAAGACTTCCAACTTTGCTGAGCCCATTTTCGACTCTGAGGAGGAGAAGCTTGAGGTGCCCGCTATTGAGCGCCCTATTGAGAAGCCCGAGGTTTCTGAGCCCGTTGACGCCGCACCTATTGATCTTGAGTTTGAGTCTGACCCTGAATTCGCCCTGTTCCACACTGAAACCGCTCCAACCACCGCTGAGCAACCCAAGGAGTTTGATTCTGAGGGTCTATCGCACATTGACATCTTTGGCGGTGTTGAGTCCGAAAAGGTCCTTGCCCGTCTTGAACTTGTCGATGCCGGTGAGGAAGAGTGTATCGCTGCTTTGGCTATGGCTCGCGTGCAACGCATCAGCGCTAGCTGTGACGCTGTCACATCAAGGTTAGAACTTCTTACAATGGACCTGTAGAGAGTGGTTTAATGGACTGGGGAGTGGGAAAAGGACATGCACTAAGCGCTTCATTACTTTCTTATTGTAACTTTGGGATTCCCAGCGGATTGGGATGGGATCAGGCGTTTCTGGCACAAAGGATGAACCGCCCATGCGAGGTGTTGTCGCATTATTTGTTTTGTTTTATCTCCTACTTGGAACGATTGATGACACAGGAAAGTTGTGTATAGTTAGATAGAAAGGCCTACCGCCGCTCGATATCACAAATTAAACATTAAAGGCCACGATCTGTCCTATTTCTATGTGATGTGCTCCGTACTATGCCTTGCATACTCTCTTGCATCTCTAACGTGACATTAACTAGCGCTGACCTACTGCTGTTTGTAAAGACTGCCTGCATGGATCTCGGCAAAAGAACCATGACGAGTGGCTGTGTTGCATGTTAGTAACCGTTCGTTGGCTCTGTTAAGTACCGTATCATTCCGTTTCTGGTTCAGTGATAATTGCAATGTCCCTTAAGTCTACGTCTCCAGTTCGACTAATGAGTCGATGTGCTTTTCGAAAAAGAGCTCATGCTAGTGATTTGACGATATACAAAGAAACTAATTCTGCGCCGTCGATTGAGGTTTCGCGAAAGCGATCTAAAAGAACTGGGCCTTCAAGTTTCGGTCTGCATAGCATTTCTCACCACCAACGTTCAACATCTCATTCTAGGACTCTTCTCAAAATCAAGTCTCATTGCTCGACTGTGTCTCTGATTTCATCCATGGCCGATGTTGTCCAGCCGCCAGAAACGACAGCTCCAGAGTCATACGCCTATACACCATTCACAAATAGCTTTACAATCCGCATTCTGACTCTTGAGCCTGGTACGGGCAATGACCCATTAGTCGGTCATCTCGGCTTTGAGAACCTTGATCTCAGTCCGCAATATGAAGCCATCTCATATTGCTGGGGTTCAGGTGGTCGATCCTCTGAGATTATATGCGACGGAAAGCCGCTGCCATTGACGGAGAGCATTGAGGGTGCCCTACGCCGTATGAGACATGCAACTACCCAGCGACGCTTATGGGCGGATCAAGTCTGCATCAATCAGGATGATATTGCCGAACGAAGTCAGCAAGTCAGTCTGATGAATGCTATTTACAAGGGGGCGAAGCATGTGTTGGTATGGCTCGGGGAAGACAAGGTAGGACATGGGAAGGCGGCTATGGAGATGATTCACTACCTTCACGGAGTGTTTAATGATGAAGAGCTGCATAACGAGTTCAAGAGAGCTCATTCAGAAGATTTGCTGAGCCAGGATAGAAAACCTTGGGTGCCGTTCTCAAATCTATCGAGGCTGCCATGGGTGAGTTTTATGAGAGACCCTGAAGAGCCTTGTACTGATGAGAATAGTTTAATCGTATATGGATTGTTCAAGAAATAGGAACAGCGGCACCAGCGACTCTTTACTGGGGCGATGCAGAGATCGACTGGGAGATTCTGTCGTCAGTTGCAGGCATCTTGAATACGACTTATCACTTCCTACGCTCAAGATTCGCCGTCTTTACACCTAACATCCGATATTTATATCAACGCTTCGTTGAGCCAGAGGAGGCATATGATGTCAACCATAACCGCGCAGCCTTCATATACGAACTTCACCGTGCAAGACATCTCTTATCCAAAGACCCTCGGGACCATGTCTACGCTTTTCTTGGCCACTTCTCCATCCATGCTGGTAGTTCGAGCCTAGCAGAGTTGGTGGCGGATTACAGCAGATCGATAGAAGATATCTATTATGACGTTGCCGTCAGGGAACTCTCTGGGTGCGAATCACTTCTGCTGCTGTCTGCTTGTCATGCTATACCAATTACTTACAAGAAACGGATTATGGAGAGGGGAGATTTACCAACTTGGGTTCCAGACTGGCGTGTTGTGCCGTTGCATCTCATGGGTACACCCGTGACTCCTCATAGAGCATCCGGGGAGTATCGGCCTCAATTATGCATCGACGAAGAGACAAGAGCTCTTCACATCTACGGTGTTCGCTTAGATCGTATCCGTCGACCATCGTGGATCTTCTGGAACAACGCTTTCCACTTCCGTCGCAACAACCCGTTTCGTCTCCCTATCGAAGCCCTATGGCGAGATATTTGTGGTAGAAACCTACCCTTCAACCTACGACAACGCTATCGAAACGGCGACTCAGCGTTCTTCGCCCTTGTGCAAACACTTACAAACGCATGTATCGGAGCAGATCGCTCACGGCCATACGAGAGTATTCCCAAGGAAGAGTGGCTGGCCAACGGCGCAGCGTATCTTGTCCGCGCGCTGGATAAACCTGGTGCTGTTTCACCAGAGATACAAGAGCTTGCGCAGACGGGAGACGGGTTCAAGTGGAGCCATGAAGCAACGCTTGTTACGCGGTATCGAGGCTTTGCGATAACTTTTGGGGGATGGTTTGTTGTTGGGCCGGATATTATGTTGGCTGGAGATGTGGTTGTGGTGTTGTACGGAGGTAGAACCCCGTTCTTGCTAAGAAGAAAGGACGACGGGACGTGGGTACTTGTCGGGGAGTGTTATGTACATGGGATGATGAATGGGGAGGCTTTTGACCTTGATGGGGTTGAAGAGGAGGAGTTTGTTATTGTGTGAGGCGTGTGGGATATAGATACCCCTTGGATAGTATCCATACTGTCATTTTATTAAACCAAGATATCTAGAGATGATTACTCCAACAAAAATAGTGATGTTGTTCTTGACATCCAACCATTCAATCATCATGCAATGTCCAAACTTTGTCTGTGCTCAACTGATAGTCTCAGTTCAGTCAATTTGAACTACCTGTTATATAGCAACGGTCCTTTCAGTTTATGCCACATATGGCCAATGATAAGCATCTCCAAACGAGTGTATATGCAGATTCGCCGATACCAACGCCTATAAAATCCATCCCAGTAGGTATCAATAGCTCGAACGATTGTAAGAATCAAAGGGTATAACCGTGCATGCAAAGTTCCTCGTCCAGTTCCAAGTTCCTCATATAGTTTCCCTAATCACTCAAACACACCCTACCTACTCAAACGCTCTCGCGAGCCTTCACTGGTGCCGCATTCATAACGCTGATGTCATCGTCGCTGTCATCCAAGGATCGTCTCTGGGGAGGAGACCCCATATCCTTGGTCACGATTCCAGAAGTCTGAGGAGGTATCTCATTTGGACTTCGGAGTTCCCAGCTACCGACGCGTTCATGGTGAATGCCCTGCTTTGTCACCACGACATCCGCATCTCCATCTTTCTTTTCTGGGCCCTTGAAGCCTCCTGCGGTACCTCCTACAGCAGCGGCACCGTGTGTTGACTCCTCGGGACCCTTGCGACGTAAACGAAGACCGCCGCAGACACACAGGCAGATGAGTAGAACACCCAGAACAGCGATCGCGATAATTGCTCCAATGACCCCTGCGATGACTGGCCCAATCGAAGAGTCATCTCCCCAGTTGGAGCTATCCGAGTCGACGATGATGCACCAAGGAGCAGGCGTCGGGCTACAAACGTCGCACCACTGGTTAGGTGATATTCCAAGGTTGTTCATAGTCTGCATGAAACTCGAGTATGCGATGCCATCAGGACCAGACTTGAAGATGGGCTGGTTCTGAAAAGACTCGTCCGCATCTGCTGAAGCACGGTAGGACATTCTCACACGAAGACTATCTGTGGCCGGTTGCTTATCAGGATCATCTGGGTCTTGACCAAAAAGCTCAAAGACCAATGCTGCGCCAGGCTTGGGAAGCGTTGACCAAGGCGCCTGGAACATGTTGTCTTGTGTGACAAGACCTGAGAGTTGAATAAAGCTCACGATGGGATCGAGAGAGCCAAACATGAGTGTGAGTTTGTTGTAGCTGCTTCCCCAGCGAATGTTGCTCTTGAACTGCGATGCGACTTTGTACGCCATGGTTCGGCCGGCGACAGAGTAGAGAGCACCAAGTTCGCCGCCGTCGTCTGAACCGCGGTAGCTGTTTTGTGCGCGCTCCATGGACAAGGCATAAGTGTTCAGAAACGACAGCGTTGAGTTGGCGTTTTTGAGCCCCTCGTGGACCGTCTCATTGTGTCGATACTGATAATCGACGAATTCCCAGAGCTGGTAGGCATTCCAGAGATTGGCGTAGTCAATGTCAACTGTGCCATCAAATGGAGCAGTAGAGAAGAGGTTTTGGTAGAAGGGCAGAGTTGAGTCATAGAGCTCGTCGAGGCCGGTTTCCTGCGTTAAGTTTGTGGTGATCTCTGTCTGCCATGCTGAACATCTATAAGTGCCTTGTAATCTGTATTGTATTAGTCAAATGCAGGTAAGGAGGGGGATGCCAATGAGCATACGAAGTTGACTCTGGATCGTAGTATCCAGGGGCTCGAATGCTGGGGTATTGATATCCGTCTAGAGGATATCCAGTCTTGTTGTCGCTAGAAGCCAAGTTCACGGCGATTTCTTCGCCTCCAGTGCTGTTATCAAAGGCATTTGGTGTTGGTGGGTAGAAGCCCTGCATAAAGGCCAAGGCACCAGTCGATACCCATTCATCTGACTGGGTAATAATGTCGAGGTCGTCATTGTCAATCACATCAGGTTTGAGATTCTGGAGATAAGCGATTTGAATGCTCTGATAGTCGGAGTTGTTCACACCGTCTGGGATATATCGAGCACGGAATGCAGTGCCTTGTCGCAGCATCTGCTGAGCTCCCTCGGGTGTCAAAACGGTACGAAGATTGGCAATTACGGGTGTTCTTTCGCCGTGGTTGATGAATGCGACGGCAGCCCAGACCTTTTCGCCAGTGCCGGCGGATTGTGCAATAACGCCATGGGCGAGAGGTAAAGCTGCGAAGAGCTTGAACATGATCATATTGAGTGTTGTGTCTTATACGACAATACAGTGGGGAGTCAAAGTCAACTATAAGTAGGTAATCAAATCAAAACTCTTCCTTCACCACGAAGAGGTGAGAGGCAATTGAAAGAGAAGAGAGGCAAAGACTCAGCTCAGCTCAAAAGAGATGAGAGGGCCATAGATAGGTAGGTAGGTAGGTAGCTTATGCTGCAGCTACCATCTGCAACTGACCGTCATCCATCCACCCAACGCCTGATGCAGCTCTAACAGGACCGAGGTTCATGTACAAGTAGCCAACGCCTAGTCACAGCGGCACAGAAACTCCTCGCGACATCCCATTGGGACTCCTCCAACAAGGCTGGCATTGGCGGCGGGCGGGGGAACACGATAAAGCCATGGAGGGCCGGCAAGTGACGAGATAGGTCAGCTCACCATGATGCCATCCAATGGCTGAACTAAAGGATGCAGCCCAGCTTCTTTGATGCTGTAAGTTTAAAAAGGGCCAAGATAGTGCTGAGTGCGGGGTGACATGACCGGACAGAGGTGGCTGGGAAGACGATAAGCTCAGTGCCAACTGCAATGTTCAAGATCTCGATGGAAGAAATATTGAGTCAGTGACTTCAAACAGCCAAGGAACTGATCCATTCGTGATAACAAGTACCGAGACTCATCAAGGCTCACTTTGGGATTGGCTTTGACCGCTGACTGCGCAGATCTATCCGTAAAGAGAATGCTTACTGCGGCGGGGTTTGCAGGTCGCGCAATTGAAGAACATCCTCGTGACATGGAGTAAGACAGAGAGGGCTACGATAACATAAGGCTAATAAATCTAATTCTTTAATACGAAGAATATCTTTTTGTAGAACAAGATATTGACGTCAGTTGTCTTGAAGCCAGCTCGGAGCTAGTTACGCCCACTGACGGCACTTGTAAGTGGCTGCACGGAGTAACCTAACTTAACATGGGGCTCAACACCAATTCCTTGATATCCGGTTGGTGTTTGAGAAGTATTTTGACTTCATGCAGTGATTTTATTGTATCACTGAACACGGCATTATATTAGCCACTCTATGAATAAGAGCTTTTGAGTGTCTCACTATGTCCATGGACTATCGCGATTTAGAGGTACGACGACTCTCACCCCTGGTTGGCGGCTTAGTGCAACTGCGAACCTGGTTGGCATTGGATACACAAGCATGACCATAAGTCCCTTTCTTTATATTGGTGGCCCGAGATGGGTTTGGAGAACACATATAGGAGGTTTGACAAGATAAACATTGCATGCCTGGTTACGGCGTTTCATCACAAGGTACCGGGTGTTGAGCTTCCACACAATCAGTCTGCAACGCCGGAATGGTTAATACAAATACTTTTTTTTTTTTGGAAGCCTGTCGGATTTGATACGACGTCTGAAGCCAAGCCAATATTTCGGCTCGATGCCGGCCCATTTGGATCTGGTCTGATCGTCTAGTCTAAGGAGTGTAGGGTTCCCTTGATCTGTGAAGCCACGTTTTCACGAGCGATTTCTAGAGCTCCTGTCTCAGACAAGATGTAGGGGAGATATATACCATTCTCTCAGCATATCTTGTGAACCAGTCTCAAAGTCAACTTGGGATTGGTCGAACAGTCGACTTCAGCAAATGAAGACAATACACAAAATAACGAGTTGGCAAGGGTTAACACTTTGAACATGTGATCACCTGGCTAGTCGTGGACCAACAAGGATGGGCAGCTTAGACCCTTCGAATAACGATGTAATACACATGTGCTGTGTGACTTACTGACTTGACTGTATCACGATGAGGACTTCGTCTGTGTCGACTACACCCTCCAAGTCCTTAGCTTGCGATCATATCATGCACGATAAGGCACGGAAGTGGACTCTTTCACTGTTAGTCATCAACCCCATCGTCTCAACAAAGGAAACTAATGCTGAGCTTCATGGACAGCCAGTAACGGCTAATTCACATTTGCGCAACTGGCATAGTGATAACGTTAGGTGAGTTATCAACCGAGTTCTCAGCTGGCAAACTTCATCAGCAGTTTACTATGACGAAAGGATCGGGGCTTGAGTATCAGCAGTGGTTGACTATGAACAAAGACATGAGCACTTCTGCAAAGTCTTGAGAGCAATGAACATGAATCTCCATATCGACTCTACAAGTAGTTCGTGGGAGAGACTAAATGAGAAAGCTTCAAGGTCTCCTCCGATGGCCCTGTCGCCGGCGTGTCGGTCAGATATTCATAGAAACAGCATCAACACTACACAAAGGAACTAGCAAGCTGCGATAGAACGTGCTGTAGAAATGCAATAGAACAATGGATCAAGTTTGAGTTTGTTATACAATAGTCTTGACGTCGGGATGGAAGTACTTGTCCAAGTGACAACCCTCAATAGTCAACTCGAGCGAATCATGATAGCTTAGATGTAAGGGTGCATATGCAAGACATGGACACTCGAGCTGGTCGATTGGGATAACACAAACGATACAGTGAGTTAACAAACATGAAGAACAAAGCGGAGCTATGGCGACGGCAACCAACAACCAGTCAACCCAGCCCTGAAGCAGGGACCACAGATGGGGGTGAGGGTGCTCGTGAGCTAATGTCGCCTACGTAAGGTGGGACAAAGCCAGCCTGGCCAGGATAATCGGCAGTGGACGATGTCCCCAGCTTTTGGGTCCTGGGTTTCAGATGCTAATCTTATCAATCTGATCAATCTGCATCAGATGAAGATCTTTAAACAATACACAATAAAGCCTATGTTATATGTGTGTCTAGAAAACAGAACAAGTCACAACATTCTCAGTGACAAATATAAGACCATTATCCTTTATAATATTTGATAGTTTGATAATCAATACTCGATAGTTAATTAGATTTTGCCCTGCTTATGCTTAACACCGCAAAAAAGTTGATTCGTTTGTAAAAAGGGGGCAAGTTTGCGATGATGATGGAAACCTCCGAAATCGAATGATGCGTGTTTAGCGGGTCCTTTTGGGGGGGTACCTCCCTAGGGGAGAAAAGAAAACTGAGGATCTTGGCAGTGGATGATAAAAGTAATGAGGTAACTTAGCCTAAGTTTAGCATACACTTTGCTGAGTTTATTTTAGCACCATTCATTAAAGTCTGCTGTTTTCTTACTCACTGAGGCCCCCTGCCCTGTTTCTTCCGTTTGCATTTAGCCCAAGTTGAAATCTTAGCACAGTACGAGGCCTACAGGTATCGCCTACCGAGGATAAGCTCAGAAGATACTTCCAAGCGAGCCTTTTCATTCGCCCGCTAACAATTCTATCCGCATCACCTGCCCTTCTGACCACCAACTTCAGTAAACTGTACCTACCCTGCCACTCCGACTCAGGTTCTCACCCACTGTACCACTTTCCAAGTTCTGCACTCACGCCCTTTTCGTCCGTCCTACTCAACACTTCCAGCGCAAAAGTATCTTGACAGAGTAATTAATCCTTTTCACCGCATCGATATTTTCAACCGTCTGTACTACGCCGCAGCGAGAAACGGACCCGAAATTTAGAATTCCCTCCCTCAATGGCAGCATCGCTGATTGCGACGTGATCGCCCACCATGTCGGAGTCGACCTCCACGTCGATCGACGCTGGCATTGCTGTCGCTGCTACACCAAATTCTCCAGATACGGTCGTTGCGACTGCGCCTGTCGATACCAACACCAAAAACCCCACGACCGCTCAACCTGGCGCTACTTTTCTGCATTCGCCTCCCGATAGCAACAACACGGCGAAGTCTGATGGCTCAGATTCTGAGTTGAGCGATCTTGAAGATGAACCCATCTTGAGCGATCCACCGCAGCCCGTTACTTCTAGCGACAATGTCAACATCGACGATAAGAAGGAAGATGCTGACGCAGACGTTGACATTGGAGAGGTCCTGCCAGATTCCTGGTCTGGTGCCGTTCCTATCTTTAAACCCACCATGGACCAGTTCAAGGACTTCAAACGCTTCGTACGTCGACCACAAGTTCCCTCGTGTCCGTCGCTAATATATCCTCCAGATGGAAGCCGTCGATAGCTATGGAATGAAATCCGGCATCATTAAAGTCATCCCCCCGCAAGAATGGAAAGACGCCCTTCCCAAACTCGACGGCCTTGTGAAGCAGGTTAAAGTTCGAGAGCCGATCAAGCAAGATATTATGGGATCCAATGGAACCTATCGCCAAGTCAACATCCTTCACGGACGATCCTATAATCTGCCCCAGTGGCGCCAGCTATGCGACCAGAGCGAACATCAGCCCCCGGCCAGACGTGGTGAGCGACGCGCCAATGCTGAGAAACCTAAAGCACGAACTCGAGCTGCGACCGCGACGGTGGCTAAACCTTCCGATCCTTCGACCCCTAAGAAGAGAGGTAGGGGGCGACCTGCCAAGCGAGGAGGCAGAGGGAAGCGGCTCAAGCAAGAACAGGCGGATGATAATGAAGACCGGCCTATGACTCCGGTCTCACCCAAGCCGGAGGTTGCTGAGACTGAGGAGAAACCTGTCGAGTCAGTAGAGAAGGACCCTGGTGAAGAAGTTGAGGAGGATTATGAACCTACTGTTGGTCGCATGGGTGGCCACCGACAGGCAAGAACCAAAACACAAACAGTCTCGGCCCGTCGCAAATACAGTCGCCGAGAGGGATCCGCTATGATCGACGAAGCTGCTTTTAAAGACTGGGATTATAAGATGGACATATCCGAGTATACCCCCGAGCGCTGTGAGGAACTTGAGAGGGCTTACTGGAAGACCCTTACCTACGCACCTCCCCTCTACGGCGCTGATTTGATGGGTACGCTTTTCGATGAATCGACCGAACAGTGGAATTTGAACAAGCTGCCTAATCTTTTGGATGTGTTGGGTGAAAAGGTTCCAGGAGTCAACACAGCTTATCTCTACCTTGGCATGTGGAAAGCAACTTTTGCTTGGCATCTTGAAGATGTTGATCTTTACAGTATTAACTATCTTCACTTTGGTGCTCCCAAGCAGTGGTACAGTATCTCCCAAGCCGATGCCAGGCGGTTCGAAGCGGCGATGAAAAACATCTGGCCAACAGATGCTAAGGCCTGTGACCAGTTTCTCCGTCACAAAGGTTTCCTCATCTCGCCTCAGCATTTGAAATCGCACTACAACATCACTGTCAACAAATGCGTATCTTATCCTGGAGAGTTCGTCGTGACCTATCCATATGGATATCATTCTGGTTACAATCTGGGCTACAACTGTGCTGAAGCTGTCAATTTCGCACTCGACTCTTGGCTAGACATAGGCAAAATCGCCAAAAAGTGCGAGTGTGCCGAAGCGCAAGACAGTGTCTGGATTAATGTCTACGACATCGAACGCAAATTACGCGGAGAAGAAACAGAATATGAAGAAACTGAGGACGAGGAGGAAGATGACGAAGATGAACAAGGTGGTATGCCAACACCGCCCTCTGGCTCTGGTGTCAAGTTCAGACTGGCTGGCCGCAAGCGAAAGCGTGTACCTGGCGAGAAGGGAGGCAAGGTCAAGAAGATCAGACTTCGTCTCAAATCGAAAGCCGAACCACCCTGCTGCCTCTGCCCTAACGATACTCCATCGGCCGATCTATTGCCCACCGATGATGGTCGAAAAGCTCATCGACTTTGCGCGCACTATCTACCAGAGACGTATACCGAAACTATCGATGGACAGGAGACAGTCGCCAACGTGTCTAAAATCCATAAAGATCGATTCGAACTCAAGTGTCTCTATTGCCGCTCCAAACAGGGCGCTTGCTTCCAATGTTCCCAAAAGAGATGCGCCCGGGCATATCATGCGACATGCGCGGCCGCAGCTGGTGTGTTCGTTGAAGAAGAAGAAATCCCAGTCTTCAGCGAAGATGGCACAGAATACAAGGAGCAAGCCTTTGAGTTCAGTTGTCGGTACCATCGGACGAAGCGAGATAAGAAGCTTGATGGAAATGTGTTGGAGACTGACTCACGAGTTCGGACGGCAGCTTCAAACCTTCAGCCTGGCGAGACCTGCCAGTTGCAATACTTCAAGGGAGACATCTTTGCTGGTGTTGTGGTTGAAAACCGACACGATGAGCAAACGTTGCTCATTGACATCTTGCCAAACGGGTATGCTAGAGTCCATCCGAAACTCAATCGCGTCAAATCCAAACTAACCGCTTGTAGTGACCGCCTCGAAGTCGAATGGAAATGGCTACTGGTACCCGATCCAGCCGATTATCGCCTACCAAAGGCATCGGCAAAGGCCATTCCGATGCCCGCGTCCCAGAAGGCCAAGGAGAAGCTCAAAACAAAACGGCTTCATGACGACAATCCCCAAAAGGACGATCCGTTCGTTGAAGGCTATACTTGGGCCGAATTCAACAGCCACCCTGTCGCAAACAAAGAACAAGTCAAGATCGATTTCTGTAAACCAGACCAAATTTGGTATTACTTGCCTAAGAAATCGACAGAAGCCCGCGCCCAGTTCACCGAAGATCCTCGCATCCCACGTCATAATCACAGGGGTAATTTCCTATCGACAGTTCCCAAACCCGTCAAACCACCAAGGCCGGTTCCAGGATATCCTCCCCGACAAGCCTACCAGCCCGCCGTCCCTTATCCTGCAGCTCGACTTGATAAGCCATACATGTACAAGCCACGAACCCCTGCTCCTAACAACTACCCTGCGATGGGCAACTTCACCACTCAAAGATTTACACCAGCTGCTCCTTCGCCCGTTCCAGTTCAGCAACAGCCCGGGAACTATCGTTATCCGTACGCACGTCCTATACCTGCAGGACAACAAACCACTCCCGCCTACTCTGCGCAAAGGTTTGAGGTTAGGCAATCGCCCGCCTATACACCTCCCGGAAACACACCCGGGGTACAGAGTCCTGTGAACACATTGCCACATTATCAGCAGAACCAGTGGCAAGGAAGATATACCCCTGCCCTTCCTGCACCCACCCCTAGTCATCCTCAAGTAGCCCATCCCTATCCGCAACCGCATCAGGCTTCGGCACCTGTAAACCACCACCAGGCATCGCAGGCCGATGTATCTATATTCCAAAAGTATCCCTTTTTCCAGGTCAACCACAACAGGTACGTAGTATCGACCCATAACATCGGTCCTTTGCTAACCTCTATAGGGACTCGACTAAATACCGGACACCATATTCTCCTTGGGGGGGCTTCACCAACGGATACGAGGGCAACTTCAGGGCTCACATCATGGCCAACAAGGATGCATATCTCAAGGGTACAATTAAGGATAATAGATTCCAGAGTAATCAGAACTTCGGCGCCTACCAGCCTCTGCACCACCATGCTCCGGGGCATGGCTACCGTGCGTCTCCTGGGAGCCAGCCTCGGATCAGTCAACTACCGAACTTGAAGCAAGTGCCTGCGCCTTCTCCAGGAACTGGCACCCCTAGCTTCAGCCAGTTTCCTCGGCCTGCCATAAAACAACAGTATTTGCCCCCTATGCATGCACCTACACAAGCACAAGTACAGGCACCCATACAGCCCCAGGTGCAGCCCCAAGCGCAGCCGCAAAAATCGACCCCAAAGCCCCAACAGAGGCCTCCACAGAAGCCTCCGCAATACGCTGAAGAAAAGCCTCAGCAGAGGCCCCCACAGACCACTCAGCCCCCTAACCAGAGTAGTAAACCTAAGATTGGGACGATTTTCAAGGAATACAAGGTAAGTACCTGGAAGTCTCAATAGGAATGAAGGGTCGGCTGAACAGCCCATCCAGATACCCCCGAAAGAGTCGCCAGTACCGTTGCCAGCAAACTTTCTGGCTTCGATGGCGCCTACGTCCAAGATCCCTGCTCCCGTTGCCACCGGGAAGCCAATCTTGCAACAAGCCGAGAGCAAAGTCTCACCTTCTACGCCCAAAGTTGCAAAATCGATTCGGGCACCTCAGCAGACATTATCGAATGGGCAGCCTATGAACAGTCAAAAACTTGGGACCAAGGTTTCCAAGACCCCCGTTCCAATTCCGCGATTGCCGGGCGTTGCTCAGATCTCTGCGCAAGGTTCAGCCTCAGCCTCAGCTCCAATACAACAGCATGGTGCTTCACCTCTCCAGGATAGCAAGTTGACATCTACGGATTCAGACTTGGTACACGCAACAGATACAACTGCGCCAGCGACGGGCACCTCTTCCGGACAACAAGATTTTGCAGATGTTCCTGGAGGTGATTCCATGGAATTCATGGACCGACTTATGGCGAGCATACGTACAATAGCCCGCCGCGACGACGCAGTCTGAGCTGCCACCGACACAAGCAGCTGTAGACTATGTATCCGAATACCCTCTTCAATTTTAGCAACTGCCTTTGGAACCATGGGATGGCGTTTATGGATTTCAGTGTTTATGGTACGCATCAGGCAAATGGGAGTTGAGGGGCATGGAGTGATACGGATATGATGATCATATTAAGACGCATGACGAAGGGAAGTGTGTTTATGTAGTATAAGATGCACGACCGGCGCCCTCAAAGACGCCAGAAAGTCAACGGACTTTGCATGATTCGGAAGTCAAAACGCCAATGTAGTAATACGCGAAGTAAAGCAAAAGGCGCCAGTGATATAACGAAATAAAGCATTTATATCCAACACCACGCAATGCGAGGCATCATACACTACGCCAAAGAAAAAAAACACAGCAACCTTAATAAAAAGTCTCAAGGTCATACAGCTGCTACCTTAAACCTTATGATCTAAGAACAAGTGGCCTCAATCCACGAGATCATAGATTTGATCGGGTCGCAAGACAGCGCAGTATGAAGAACACAAGTTAAGGAATAATACCACTGAAATAACACTTGGCCTCAAAATCTATACTACTTAAGTTATGCTAAGTTGACCTAAGGCTTTTTGTCACTTAGAAGAGAGGTCCTAAGTTTTGTTGCATCCCGTCGGGTAGTCACTTAAGATATTGCTCTGCAGCAAGATCTAGGTATCTTAGATTTCTGACACTGATACGTATCGCCTGAACATGCGCCAAGACTCAATCATACAGTTCAAACATCAAGTGAAGTTACTTACTTCATGTTCCAATGGAAGTTCTCGAGACATAAACAAGATCTATTGGTTGTTCTTGCAGTGTCAGGCAATGAACAGTTGACACTGTCCTCTCAATTCTGTGCCGCACAACCACTGGCAGCGGTTACACTACATTGCGATCCGAGAATTTATACATTACTTTCTTCGCCATGGCCTTGCCAACATGTTTCCCTTTGCTTTCTTCGCCATAACCTTCTAACCTTTACAACCCTCAAAACTATCAAGACTCGTGTGAAATACAACAACATCATTCACCATGAGCATCACCGCTTGGACCGACGAGGATGTTCGAGCAGCCCTCGTCCCCCAGAACGAGTTCCCTACTTGCTCCTATCGTCGAGGAACTCGAATAGGTCAAGGTGCAGGTGCCAGCGTTTACAAGGTACTCAACGTCAAAACCGGAGGCCTATTCGCCGGCAAGGTCGCTCCTCAGTATGCCGATCACCTACGAGAGGAAGCCAGAAACTTGACTAGACTGAACCATGTGAGTCATTACACACTGCAGAGTTGAATATCATGACTGACCATATATTTATGTAGCCCCATATTGTCAAGTTCATCGAATACTGTGAAGACAAGCACAACCCAGACGCTAACGTCCTCATTATGGAGCTCTGTGCCGGGGGTAGCCTTCAAGACAAGATTCATGACAATTCCAGAGGCCTCAGGGGTGAAGAGACCTTGCAGGTGATGCTCCAGGTCGGACGGGCCGTGGAGTATCTCCATGGCAAGGGACTCTTTCACACGGATATCAAGCCGCGGAATATTTTGATCCGATCCTGGTCCCCAATTGATGTTGTCCTCGGTGACTGTGCTGAAGTCATGAAGGTCGAGCAGATTGACCCCCGCCAACGACCATACGGAACGCGCTCATACTGGTCGCCCTATATGGAAAAGTATGGCAGAAACCATGGCAAGAGCGACGATATCTGGGCGCTCGGGATTTCACTTCTCGGGATGATGGCCCAGTGGCCTCGTTGCCTTGTCAAGCAGGAAAAATTGTACCCAAGAAAGTGCTTTAATCATGCACGGGAGCTGCACAAGCTCAATCCTGATGATGGCCGTCTAAAGATCCTACTGCGCCTACTGGAGTGGGAACACCACCGGCGGATCACCGCTTCCCAGCTGGTGAAGCTCATAAGTGAGCGTCTTGAGGCTCGCCCTAATTTTGTCGAGGAGCTGAAGTCCCCTGAGGGCTTCCAGCCTTTGGTGTTTTGGTAGAGAATGATGTCTTGTCTTTTGAGGGGTTATCTGTCGCCGAGTTGAATCAAGTGTTCATTGATGGGAAACGTTGGAGCGACATGACAGAGATTGAATAAGGACAGAGAACAGCGAATGTAGCTACGGAGTAGTGCGTGATAAGACTTGTATAGCAGTGTGTTTTCGCACTTGGTGATATCTCAACTCAATAAAGTCATTGGTACTAAAAGCAACTGATTTGCATGGAGTGTTTGTGACAGCGATGAGTTGCTGGCTGAGGATGTTTCCAGTTTCTCATGAAGTATTATCAGCATCAGAACTATGAACCGTATGTAAGTCGACCTTTGTCGCGGATATCTCGATGGAGTCCCTGGTCGTACAGTACTTTTCCGACTGATAATAGAAAGCTCCGGTCTCGCTTCTGAAAGAGTATCAGGGCAGACAGCGAGGAATAGAAGAGCTTATCGTCGGAACAAAGCCAGTGCTCTCTACGGCATCAAGTGCCGGACCCAACCCTTGCATCGAGTTATCGAGCCAATCCCAATAAACCAATTTCAGTGCTCATCATTGGAGCTAATGGCGCGATTCGTAGGAGAATTCAACCCCCGCAAAAATTATTAGTCATCACTTATCGCTCCCGGTTACGGCGATGTCGCAACCGTTGAGAAGACAAGCTACTTGTGGAGAGAAAGACTGCTATTGATCCAATCGTCAAGGCGGGATTCCTATCAGTGGGAGAATTATACGTGAGGATTTCTGCTACAGTTATCGAAGGATCTGACTAATACCAGAAAAGGACCCTTTTGTCGCTGTTGATGTTGCGCTCCATATTAAGCCCGAGCTGCCCCTCCTCACCCGTGCTCCGGACTACACTCCGAAGTATTATCCCTCTTCACTCATCAAGACCATTCTCAAGCAGTGTCAGCGTCATGAGTAGCCAGACTCAAAAGCTCAAGCCCGCGGCTCGAGTCCAAGGCCAGAAGAAGGATGTTTGGTAGGTTTCCTACATGTCCTGCCTGCTAGAAGCAACGATAACTAACTCGGCCGAAATAGGTCCATGATCAATGAGGCCGCTGCGTCTTCACCAATCCAGCCTATTGTGAATTTGGGTCAGGGTTTCTTTGGTTACAACCCTCCCGACTTCATCCTCAACGCTGCCAAGGAGGCTTTGGATCGTGTTGAGTGCAATCAGTATGCGCCTGCTAAGGGACGACCGCGGTTGAGGAAGGCCCTTGCGGATGCGTATTCACCGTTGTGGAGTCGTCAGTTGGACCCTGAGACTGATATCATCGTCACCACTGGTGCCAATGAGGGTATGCTGAGTGCGTTCATGGGTTTTATCGAGCCTGGTGATGAGGTTATTGTGTTTGAGCCATTCTTTGATCAGTGAGTGCCCTTACCTTGTGTATTAAATACTGAGCTAACATTAGTGTAGATACATTAGCAACATCCAAATGCCCGGCGGCAAGGTCGTCTATGTTCCCCTTCATCCTCCTGAAACAGGAGCTACAAAGAACTCTTCTGCCGCAGACTGGACAATTGACTTTGACGAGCTCGAGAAGGCCTTCACACCCCGCACCAAGATGATTGTCATCAACACTCCCCGTGAGTATCTCGGGCTTCCCGCTTATATCAGCGCTGACCCCTTGTAGACAACCCTGTAGGCAAGGTCTTCCACAAGGACGAATTGCAAAAGATTGCCGATCTGGCTGTCAAGCACCAGGTTATTATTCTCTCAGATGAGGTTTATGACCGTCTTTTCTACGTACCGTTTACGCGAATTGCCAACCTTTCTCCTGAGGTGGAGAAGCTCACTCTTACGGTTGGATCTGCTGGAAAGAACTTTTATGCCACTGGCTGGCGTGTTGGTATGTCTAGAGTTTGTAACAGACCATGGCACTTTACTGATATTCTTCAGGTTGGTTGATTGGCCCCCCAGAGCTGATCCAGCACGTCACTGCCGCTCATACCCGTATCTGCTTCTCGACACCCGCCCCCTTTCAAGAAGCCGCAGCCATTGGTTTCGAGCAAGCCGACAAGAATGGTTTCTGGGATGAGACCATCAAGGAGATGAAGGCCAAGGTCGACCGCCTCAACGAGGTATTTGAGGAACTCAACCTACCCGTGACATACCCCGAGGGCGGCTACTTCCTGCTCGTCAACATGGCCAAGGTCAAACTACCGGAGGATTACCCCTTTCCTCCGCACGTCGCAAGCCGGCCTCGAGATTTCAAGCTGGCGTGGTTCCTCATCCAGGAGATTGGTGTTGCGGCTATTCCTCCTACAGAGTTTTATACTCCGAACAATGCGCACTTGGCGGAGGATTACATCCGATTTGCTGTGTGTAAGAATGATGATGTCTTGGAGCAAGCTAAGGAGAGGCTAAGGGGGTTGAAGAAGTACATTCAAGAATAAGGTAGAGCGGGTTAGAAGGAAAGAGAGAAAGAAAGTTAAAGAGTCGGAGCTTGGCTAGATTAGACGGGTTTTGTAGATCTCATGATTGTTTTGTAAATCTTGAGTTAAAGGTGGTTCCCATGTCAGTGCTCCATTGTATGTCGTGAGTTAGTGATAGTCAGTCAACCAGGGTGTGAGGGGTCCTCCGGTTAGCCCAAGCACTTTTATCTTATCTACCTACCTAGGTAAGGTAGCCAGCTATCTACTAATTTACTATGTCTTTGAGTCCAAGAAAAGACTACAAAACTACAGTATTTCCATAGGTTTATTCTACAGCTGCCATATACACAGTTCACCGCTATACGTAGAATATCTACAGTCTTGTCTCTGAACTCCGATGTCAAAGTGGAGGATCCCGATCGTGGAACTGGCCTATCGTGGCCGCGGAGCCGGCCGTTAGCGAGCTACATCGTGGGGTAGAGGCTCTCTTCCCCGCACAAGCAGCAGAGGGAACAAGCACTGAGTGGCTGCTGTAGCTGTGAGCGGGGGTGCAAATCTTGGTCTTATCAGTGGCGATGAGTTAACCTTGACACGTCCTAAACAGAAACAATCCGTCCTCTCATTCGTTCTCTGTTTGGCTATCACAGGTATCTCGTTAGGAAGAGGAAGGTGCCGTTGCACAAGGTCCAATTGTTTTTGTCAATATGACGCAGGGAACATTCTCAACTTGAACCCGCTATCTAACCGTTGCCGGCCACGCCTCGTGAACCTGAACCCTCTAACTTACCTAGTACTATCCCTTCTACAGCAACTGTACAACGCCTCGGTTCGTTTGTTGATAAGAGCCACAAAGGCCCCGTTGTCTTTTCTACCCTTTCCCTTTCGACTCTTGGACTCTTCTTCTCTTCCCAACAACCATTCGAGATACCCATTCCTCTTATTCATCGATATCATGGCGCCCAGCGCTGTATCTCCCACAAGGGAGTCCAACCCTGAGCCCTTGGCAACCCTAACCTCTAAATTCGATGATACCCTTCGATTCTATCTTAACGGAACCAAAGTCGTTCTGGACGACATAGATCCGGAGGTCACAGTCTTGGAATATCTGCGAGGAATCGGTCTCACAGGGACAAAACTGTAAGCACTTAGCAGCCCCCAAACCCGTCTGCCGTGGCTCTGACGATGATAGTGGCTGTGGCGAAGGTGGTTGTGGAGCTTGCACAATCGTGGTCAGCCAGTATAACCCAACAACCAACAAGATCTACCATGCCAGCGTCAACGCATGTCTAGCTCCTCTCGTCAGTTTAGACGGTAAACATGTCGTTACCGTTGAAGGTATCGGCAGCTCCCAGAAGCCTCACCCAACTCAGGAGCGCATTGCCAAGTCTAATGGCAGCCAATGTGGCTTCTGCACTCCTGGTATTGTGATGAGCTTGTATGCTTTACTACGAAATAACGACTCGCCCTCCAAAGATGATGTTGAGGAGGCGTTTGATGGCAACTTGTGTCGATGTACTGGCTACCGTTCTATCCTAGATGCGGCTCAAACCTTCAGCGTTGATAAGCCGGGTATGAAGTTCAAGAAAGCAGGGGGCACTGGATGTTGCATGGAGAATGGTAACGGTCCACCCAGTGGAGGTTGCTGTATGGACAAAGCAAACCTCGACGATGCACCAATCAAAAGGTTCACGCCCCCAGGTTTCATTGAGTACAACCCAGACACAGAGCTTATCTTCCCCCCTGCCCTCAAGAGACACGAGTTACGGCCTCTAGCATTCGGAAATAAGAGACGGAGATGGTATCGCCCTGTCACCGTTGAACAACTCCTGCAGATCAAGAGTGCTCATCCTCAGGCCAAGATTATCGGCGGAAGCACAGAAACACAGATCGAAACTAAGTTCAAGGCTTTGGAGTACCCTGTGTCAGTTTATGTTGGCGACATTGCGGAGTTACGGCAGTACACTTTCAAGGAGGACCATCTTGAGATCGGTGGCAATGTTATCCTGACTGACCTTGAGAGTATCTGCGAGCATGCCATCCCTCATTACGGGCGGGAACGAGCACAGGTATTTGAGGCGATGCTCAAGCAGCTCAAGTTTTTCGCTGGTCGACAAATTCGAAACGTTGGTACTCCTGCGGGTAACCTGGTCACCGCGTCACCAATCTCAGATCTCAACCCCGTCTTCTGGGCTGCGAATGCTGTGTTAGTGGCCAAGTCGTCCACCAAGGAGACAGAGATCCCTGTTTCGCAATTCTTCACAGGTTATCGAAAGACAGCACTCGCCCAGGATGCTATCATTGCGTCGATACGAATTCCAGTCACTCAAAGCAAGGGCGAATTTTTCAGGGCGTACAAGCAAGCCAAGAGAAAGGATGATGATATCGCTATTGTCACTGGAGCTCTGCGGGTTCGCTTGGATGATGAAGGCATCGTTCAGGAAGCAGCCCTCATTTATGGTGGCATGGCTGCCATGACGGCTGCTGCCAAAACAGCAATGGAATACCTTGTTGGAAGACGATTTGCCGACTTGGAGACTTTGGAGGGAACCATGAACGCTCTTGGGCGCGACTTTGACTTGCAGTTCAGTGTTCCGGGTGGCATGGCGTCTTACCGAAAGTCTTTGGCCTTTGGGTTCTTCTACCGATTTTATCATGACGTTCTGACAATCCTCGATGGAAGCTCCGAGCAGGTCGACAAGGAGGCTATTGACGAGATTGAACGAGACTTGTCTAGTGGAGCAGTCGATGAAGATGCTGCGGTGGCTTATAAGAAGGAAGTAACTGGCAAATCTAACCCCCATTTGGCTGCCCTCAAGCAAACAACAGGCGAGGCGCAATACACCGACGATATTCCTGCCATGAAGAACGAGCTTCACGCCTGCTATGTCCTTTCGAAACGAGCACACGCCAAGATCGTCTCGATCGACTACTCGGCTGCTTTGGATATCCCGGGGGTAGTTGATGTTGTTGATAAGGATGATATGCCAAACCCTGATGCCAACAAGTTCGGTGCTCCTCACTTTGATGAGGTCTTTTTCGCTGAGGGCGAGGTTCTGACCGTTGGTCAGCCGATTGCCTTGGTCCTGGCGACTTCTCCTCTGCGAGCTCAGGAGGCTGCTCGAGCGGTCAAGATTGAATATGAAGATTTGCCATCTGTGCTCTCGATTGAGGATGCCATTGCAGCCGACAGCTACCATAACTTTTACAGAGAAATCAAGAAGGGAGATACGGAGAAGGCTTTCAAGGAGTGTGACCACGTGTTCACTGGAACAGTAAGAATGGGTGGTCAAGAACATTTCTACCTTGAGACCAATGCTTGCTTGGTTGTCCCCAAGCCTGAGGATGGAGAGATGGAGATCTTTGCCAGTACTCAGAACGCCAACGAAACGTAAGTCTTGTTCTTGTTCTTTCTGTTCTGCCAACACTAGATACTAACCCTTGTTTCAGACAAGTATTCGCTTCGCGGGTTTGCGATGTACAGTCGAACAAGGTTGTCGTTCGTGTCAAACGACTGGGTGGCGGTTTCGGAGGAAAGGAGTCACGATCAGTGATTCTGAGCTCCATCCTGGCGCTTGCGGCAAAGAAGACCAAGAGACCAGTTCGATACATGCTGTCGCGAGAGGAAGACATGGTTACAAGCGGACAGCGCCATCCTTTCCTTGGCAGATACAAGGTCGGAGTGAACAAGGACGGTAAGATTCAAGCTTTGGATTGTGATGTCTTCAACAACGCAGGTTGGACATTCGACCTCAGCGCAGCCGTGTGCGAGCGAGCAATGACCCATATCGATGGCTGCTACGATATCCCCAACGTGTACATTCGAGGACGCTTGTGCAAGACAAACACGATGTCCAACACTGCGTTCCGAGGATTTGGTGGACCTCAGGGCATGTTTATCGCAGAGTCGTACATGGAGGAGGTGGCTGACCGATTGGGAATGCCCGTCGAAACGCTGCGCCAGATCAACCTGTACGAGAAGGATGGCCAGACTCATTTTGGTCAAGGTCTTGGAGATTGGCATGTTCCCCTGATGTACAAGCAGGTGCAGGAAGAGGCGATGTACGAAGCACGCCGACATGCCATTACCGATTTCAACCAAACGAACAAGTGGCGGAAGAGAGGTCTGGCATTGATCCCGACCAAGTTTGGTATTTCGTTCACCGCTCTATTTCTGAATCAGGCTGGCGCTTTGGTGCACATCTATCACGATGGCTCTGTGTTGGTGGCCCACGGTGGTACTGAGATGGGACAAGGCTTGTATACCAAGCTCACCCAGATTGCAGCACAAGCACTGGGTGTTCCATTGGACAATGTCTTCATCTCTGAGACTTCCACCAATACGGTGGCCAACGCCTCTGCAACAGCTGCTTCAGCCTCGTCAGATCTGAACGGATACGCCATTTTCAACGCATGCGAACAGCTGAACGAGCGACTGGCACCTTACCGCAAGAAGCTGGGCCCTGAGGCGACCATGAAGGATCTTGCCCATGCTGCTTACTTCGACCGTGTCAATCTTTCTGCCCAAGGCTTCTACAAGACGCCAGAAATTGGATACGACTGGAATACCAACAAGGGCAAGATGTTCTTCTACTTCACTCAGGGAGTTGCCGCAGCTGAAGTTGAGCTTGATCTACTGACTGGAACATGGACCTGCATACGCGCAGACATCAAAATGGATGTAGGGCAGTCTATCAACCCAGCGATCGACTATGGTCAAATTCAGGGTGCGTTCATGCAAGGTCTTGGTCTCTTCACGATGGAAGAGTCTTTGTGGCTGCGCAACGGTCCCATGGCTGGACATCTCTTCACCCGAGGTCCTGGCGCCTACAAGATTCCTGGGTTCCGAGATATTCCTCAGACTTTCAACGTGTCACTTCTCAAAGACGTGGAATGGAAAGAGCTACGTACCATTCAACGTAGCCGTGGTGTGGGTGAACCGCCATTCTTCATGGGAAGCTCGGTCTTCTTCGCTATTCGAGATGCACTCAAGGCAGCGCGCGCACAATCCGGAGTAAAGGCTACGATCGGCGATGACTCTTGTGAGGGGCTTCTGCGGCTCGAGAGTCCAGCGACACCTGAGAGGATCCGATTGGCGTGTGAGGATGAGATTATGCGCAAGGCAAGAGTTTTGCCCAAGGAGGGAGAGAGGAGTTTCTTTGTTGCGATCTAGTCTGATACATAACCTTTGAAGGGGGCAACTATGAGGTCTAGCAAGGATTTTGGTGCTTGGATACCTGTTACTACTGGAGTTAAGGTTGACATGGTCAGGCACACTTTACGAGTAATATGAAATATCATGTTGTATATACGGAGTACCTATGGCAGAATCTTTGTCCTTGGTGATGTACGTGCGTAAAAACGAAGTTACCAACAGAATATGGATCAAATCCTATTGGTCAAAATCCTCTTTAATCTCCCAAAGTCGTCAACCACCGAACTGAAGCCAGCCGTGAATCGCCGACATTCGGAACGAGAGCAACGAACTACCTGTATACTTCAACGGCGAGATCACAATATGACATCAGCGATATAGATAAACGAGGAAAGATGCTATGCGGCAATTAATATAGAACAAAATGAGAAGTGACATTAACATCACAGAGTTGCAGTGAAGGAATAACAACGCGTAAAGACGCCCCAGACGAGCTATTACTTGATTTGAACAAGTGTTTCAGCCTGTTGTGAGTTTATTTAGCGCTATTCTCTCTCACCGAAGGTCAAGGTCAGCTAGCAGTGGATGGATGATGCCATGGCGTATCGTACCAGTTCCTTTTCTAGAAGATCATGTCAGAAAAGGCTTATGGCCCCCGATTTGTGCACGGTCTGCTTTTAGTGATTTGAAGGGAGTGAAATAGTCTGATTGTTCGAAAGATCAGGATTGTACTTAAAACTGAAATTGGGGGCTGGGGTCAGCAGATGTGAGGATATTGGAGCTGAATTGGAGGCCTGTCTGTCTTGTTTACATGGACGTATATCTCCCATCTAGGCAGTTATATGCCTTGTATATAGTGGCCTAGGTTCAGAAGCATGCACCCCAGAAAGTGAGGGAAATGCATAAAGGACAGTTTCCGTCTTGTCTTGCAACACTATAGCGTAAGGACATTAACTCTGCAAGGCCTTTCGGCTGACTACTGTTGCCTCGGTTGCCGGCAGTTGGAAGTTTTCAAATTGGAAGCCAGGTAGTTCGACATTGGAAGCTCATGAATCGAGCAGTATGATTAATGTACTAACTTGTGTATGTCTATATTTCTGCAGGTTTGAGGCTTTTGGGAATAGTTCTGGACTGTGCTCCGGCGGTATGGAGACTCCCCCGGACCCGCCCCGGCCGCTCGTTCACCGAGACCGGGTGGACCACTGGCACCTTCCCTAAACCCCGCTATTCCAAGAGGTAGGTAGGTCCAGCCCCTAGCAGGAAGCAAGTCCTTCCTAGGTACTGCACTGCCTGGGTCAATGGGTGAGGGAGGTGCAGTTGACTTTTAGCTCTGGTCCGTTTTCTTCAGTCTCTAAAATGAGGAGAAGTCCCATTCTCTCATCTACAATTCTTGACTAACAGAAATCAAACCAATGTCAAATACGGATTACTCTTAATAATTATTGATCCTCTTCCACGCTCTTGACGATATTCAACGTAAACTGGCTGATCCAAGGCCCACTTCGCTCGTGAGCTGTGCGCTGCTTCTGCTTCTAGGCGCCCCCACAATCCTCAGTCAAGTCACTGGGTGGTCAACCAAGCAAGCCCAGCCTATTTCGGCCCCAGGTCTAAGCCTAAGCCTGAGCCTACCTACGCCTACGCCTGGCTCAAACTTCACCGTCCAGGTCCTCGTAAGTCTTTTCGTCTTCTTTTTCGACTTGGACGGCTACAAGCTTCTGGTGTCCATTGTTTTACCTCTCCTGGGCCAGCCTCGGCTGCTGAGCTATCAATTCATCTCCTGCATCTCGTTGCACTCACTTGTGCCCTTCAAAATCTCATCCTTTCGACCGTTTCGGCTCACACCACTTGCGCAGCCACTTTCCTCCTCCCCTTCCCCTCCACGGGACCAGTTCACGCGCGCACGACTCTCTCAGACAAAAGCTACAAGTCGACAAACCTACACCCGCGCACAGGACCTGCAGAAATAGCAATCGCAATCGCAACAACTAGCCGCCGACAACGTGCGAATGGATCGTGTCGCTTCGGCTGAGCTGTAGACCCATACAAGTTTGCTGCAGCGAGCCGCAAATGATCTACGAACCTGACGCCGCCTTGCGTAACCAAGAGATCCAATGGGAGCATAAGACACAATGACCGACCGGAGTGCCGCTACCATGGGCAAGAGCGCTAAGCAGGAGCCTGCCAAAGGCGACGATGGCAAGGCTGTGAATCGCGACAAGAGCTCGAATGCCACTGCTTCTGGCAATCATAAGGCCCCTACAAAAAAGAGACGCAAAGTCAACCACGGTACGCTTTTCTAACTAACGACGCTGTTTTCCCTTGCACAGGTTCTAGATGTGGTGTTGCGCATGTGCTCATGGGGGTTCGCGCTGGGGTTGTGAGTCAAGGTCATGATACTGGATAGTTGCAATCAAAAGAATCTTGAATCATGACCAATCAACTAGCCAAGCCATCGACTTGTCAACTCCAATTCCAGGGGCGAGGTTCAGCATGGCGCATGAATTCATCCATCTATCATAACCAAGAAGAACACTGGGCTGACATCGCTGCGGCGTTTCATTATAGCTTGTGTATATTGCCGACGATCTGTAAGTCAACCCCAAGTTCAACGACGCGCGTTCGCATTGGTTCTGTCTGGACCTCGAGCAGCTTTAGGCGTTCTAAGCAGCCAGTTCATTTGTTGAGCTGAAGTGTTGTGCGACGGACATGGCTCCCATGAGACAAATCTCGTCTAGTTTACCCATCACTTTGCATATGTGAGCTTTGATAGAACTGCAGCTGACAATCTGTTTCTACCTGTGTCCAGCATATGACTTGCGATCTTGTAAGTACTATCCTAGATGACCCCTGCTTCTTACCTTGATAACATGCTGGGATACCTGAGCTGCAGCTGTTGTGTTCAGCTATTCAGGGGAGGGGCTTGCTTTCTACACCATCAAAACCAAGTCACTGACGCCATGAATAGGAGAGACCATGTACCAGATGCATTAAACGGAATATTGGACATCTCTGTCACGATGAGCCTCGTGATGCCGATTCCAAGAAGGCAAAGAGTGTTCAGAGCACCCAGAGCATACAGGCGCCCTCTGTAGTTGATGAATCAGACGCACAGTCCGATATGGCTCGTAGCTCGATTTCTAGTACCATGGGCCCACCTCCCCCAGCGTTTGACACGACAAGGCAGCGAGGTTCCAAATCCTTTGGGGGAGTGCTGGGTCAAGGAAGCCCACTGTCCATTGTGCAACCCAGCCAGGTCTCGGGCCTGCAGGGCAATGCGTTGAACAACGGTAACAGTAACGCGAATCAATGTACGTTTTGTGTCCCTTTGTCCTGCACTGAGAGGGGCATGTCCCTTGTTTCGATTTTTAATCACGAGCGGAGACGGGTGGGCTGAGGTTGGGGCTGCCCAGAAATCTGTTCCTGATCTGAGATCGCTGACACGCCACTAGTTGCGGGTTTCCAAGATGCGTGGATGACAGCTCAGAACCATTTTCATGATATGCACAGCTATCACCCCAACTACATGATTGCCTCAGAAGTCACTCACGAGTTCAATCTTCTCAACGACTTCCTCCATACGAGTCTACTCGATGACGGTAGTGTGCCGCCAGAGGAACAACAGAGCCCGGCATTCAAGCGGTCGAGCCAGAGCCAGTCGGAGATGCTACCCAGGTTTGGAAATAACACCAACACCTCTATGGGAGCCGGTGGTTCAAACACCATGTCAAACATGACAGAGGGATCAATGCTGCCACCCCCTCCGAATGTTGAGGGCAAGAACATTCCACGACCGGGAAGCGTTGTGCCCGCCGACAAGGCTCGCGAATACTATCTACAAGCTGCCGACCCATCAGGCAACGACACGCCAGAGGAGCGAATGGCGCGTGTGCTCAAGGCCAAGTACGACGCTGGACTTTTAAAGCCGTTCAATTACATCAATGGTTATTCTCGCTTGGGTGCATATCTCAATTCGCACATCACAACAGCGTCAAGGGAAAAGATTCTGAGGACCATCGCCCGCTTCCGGCCCGCTTTTCGAGAAAAGGCACATGCTTTGACGGATATAGAACTTGTGTACGTTGAGATGTGGTTTGAGAAACAGCTCATGGACTATGACCGGGTGTTTGCAAGCATGGCAGTGCCCGCGTGCTGCTGGCGAAGAACCGGTGAAATCTTCAGGGGCAACAAGGAGATGGCAGAGTTGATTGGCGTGTCAGTAGCTCAGCTCAGAGATGTAAGTCTTGCTTTGCTTGGCCTACACCTCCTCGTGACAGTAGTTTGGTGCCAGCCAAAGCACAGGGGGTTTGGCAAATGGATTGCTAACGTTCGCTTACTCTAGGGCAAAATCGCGTTGCACGAAATCCTCACAGAAGAATCAGTGGTGCGATACTGGGAAGAGTTTGGCACGATTGCCTTCGACCCAGCGCATGAGACCCTCTTGACGGCCTGCTCCCTGAAGAATCCAACCCCTGGGTCAACGCATCCAGTTGTGAAATGTTGTTTCTCGTTCATGATCAGAAGAGATGAGCACAAACTGTACGTATTAGCCACTCGGGCTCCATCTGCCTTGCTATACTGACTAATTCGAATAGGCCAGCTCTGATTGTTGGTAATTTCTTGCCGCATGACCCACCAGCACAATAATCATGGATGTATTGATACATGTATATGCTGTAAATATATGATGCTTCGTGAGAAGAAGCACAGCATGAGTTGCCACACTTGCAAAAGAGTGCTATAAGGCCTCAAGTATTAGTAAGAAAAAGAAAATAGTCGGAATTGGGAACGGCGCCTGGATACAAGGATTCGGAGCGTATGTAATCAATTGCATTACGTTAGACAGGAGATGACAGTTTGAATATTATCTTGCGTTTGAGAAGTCCCTTGGTGATGATTTTCTTCCGGGTCCTGGGGTTCTTGACCTTTTGAGCCTGGTTTTCGGCTTGGGGCAGATGGAAGGAGCACTTTCATTGCTCCTGCTCTCAACCGTTCCGCAACAGACTCACATGACTCGGTTCTAAATGCAGGAGGATCTTACCTATGGGTCGAGGTATTCCTTACCTTCTTCTTTCATATACCTGATAGTCACGTTATTCTCCAAATATACGGCTTCTACTACAAGGCGGCTGCTTTCCCCCTTTTCAAGCCTGTCATGGCGTCAGCTGAAGTATCTACTATTAACCACACCAAAAGGCTCGAGGAAATCATAGGCAAGGATTGAACAGTGAATTGATGTGGCAGACCTTACTAACTCGCAGTATCGGGACAGAATTCGCGTCAGATCTCTATTCCAAGTTGCCCACCTCATGTGACTCGAGCTCAACCGATGTTCTCCTTTCCGACCTGAACCATCACATAACCACAGCCAATCTTCTTGCGGAGAGCCGCATTGCTCCTCCGTTAGAAGTTTCCAGGAATCTAAAGGACATCGGAAGAAAGCTATGGAACGAATGTATCAAAGAAAGGAGAAAGAGGGACAGCCTCCTGCAGTCCGCTTCTAGGACTCAACTGCTGGTTCGTACTCGGGTTCTGGCCTTCCTCGCCCATGCTCTCGCACGGGAGCATCGACGTGGTAAAAGGAGGGATAATCTGGAAGAAATGATATACATGATGGGCTTGTCACTCACGTTGGCGCGAGTTTGTGTCGAATCATCGGACTTGGACGGGGCGCTTCTGAGTATGGCCAAAGCTGCGGACTACATCGACCGACTGAAAAAGATCGACAATTTGACCACTGAAGATAGGGCGCACGTACAAAAGATGGAGGCTGAATATTTGACCATGCGATGTGCTTTGGTGAGTCGTGGAACAGCATCTCTGACGACTTGCTGACCGGTTAAGTCGTGGAAACAGGGCCGTCTCGACGTTGCGGAGCACATGTACGCCAAAGCAGATGACCTCTTACACAATCTCGATCCAACTTCTGCTGAACATTTGGCTGACACGTTTCACGGAATTGGGGGCGACCTCTTGTCGAGAGGCGATAATGAAATGGCTTTAAAGTGGCTCCGGCGGGCACTTGACCTCATAAATGACCAAGCGCTAGAGAGACTTTCAACAGAAGGGCTGGAACTTCGAATATCCATCCACCACGAACTTATACAGGCACTGCTCGCCACAGGGTCGCAAGACGGACTACAGGAAGCTGAGGATATAGTGTCGCATGTTGAATCAGAGATCGGGGACAAGCCTGTAGTACTACATTGGAGGCTCGAGATTCTTCAACGATCTCCAAGCGAAGTCTTCAATGCCGATGCATGTGCGAGTATCTTGCGCCGTATGATACGGTCGCTCGATCTATCGGACGCTGGGCTTGGCTTTCTTCTACATGGTATCAGCGAACTGCGGATGCGAGGTCCACGTTTGGCCATAGGTCTCATGGATGAGTTATTGCTCAGAAAACTCATGCCTTCCCGTAACATTGACTGGATAGGCAAAGCCATTGTCCGGCGAGTTTGGATGGGCACGATGGAAGCAGATGCGTCTGTGAGCGTAACAGATTTAAACCAGACCCTGGATCAGCTCGTTCAAGAAGCTGGTCAGTGTGATCTTGAGGCCTCGACTGCTGCACTTTCTGTCAGTTTAACTACTCCAACACTCTTTCATGCACGTAACTGACAAGGGAAGCTCATCTGGAAGAAGCTCGATACTACTTATTCCAAAAAGCAGTACAAGGAATCCCAGCTTTGGTGCCAGGCTGCGCTCCACTCTATCTTTGCGAATAGTGGCGAGGCGTGTCAGGGCAAGTTCAGCAGAAGGCTGGTGCTGTGCGCTACTTCTTGTAGTGATGCAGAGGCTGCACTTTCTGCATTTCACTCAATGCCTAGAAGCATACAGGATGAGCCGCTCACCAGATACCTCATGTTCCGGGTTTCTCTTCTGAACTGGGACCATGACTTGGGTCGTCAATGTGTCGAGTTCCTAGGTAAATTTGCTGAGAAATCTCAGTGTCGAGATATACTATACGCATGTATAAGAGATGCACAGCATGTCGGCGATAAGCTGATGACCTTGGAAGCTTTGAAGGCGGTCGCCGAAACCTTTGATGCTGAAGGCTCTTTGACTATCAATCTGCCATCGATTCTAAGGTGTACGATCAGGCTTTTACATTCGCTTGAGTCGCAAGAGGGTAGCGAAGGAGACCCAAGTCCTGAACTTGCGGAAGAAACTTGCCGAATTTTTGAAAGGGGTAAGCTCTCTGTCGAAAGGTGGACTGTATTCTAACACGCACAGCTGGTGAGCACGCCAAATTGGAACCAAGGGATGAACAAGGTTGCAAAGTCTTCACAGTATCGGAACTGCACTGGTTTCGAAAGAACGCATACAACATCGGTGTGACAAAGTGTCATGTCTAGGGGATGTGGCATCTAATCCGCATTTTCCGTGCGTGTCTCGCATTTGTGGATTGTTACTCATCCGATCTCCCTTCGGAGGATGATACTGATCTACGACTTATGTCCGTCCGTTGTCACTTTGTCGTCGCCGCGGCACTTATCTCCCAGGCTCGTACTGGGGACAAGGTAGATGAACAGCTGCAGCAGTACCTTGAAACAAGACGGCACATTTCAGAATTCGACACCCTTTTTGACGCTCAATTCCGAAACGATCCCAAGTCTCAGATATATCCCGACCTCCTGGCCAAGCTGTCAACGCTTTTTGTCTTTGACTTTGAGAGTGCCGTGTGCTTAAAGAGTTGGGACGATCTTGGCCAGATCATTAGGAAGGCTCGAATATGCAAAAATGAGATGATGTATAAGGCAATAGGGGACTGCTTGTTACGGAGTGAAGCTTCAGGAAGCGGTATGTGTTAATGGTTTCTGGCGGCGCACGGAAGACTAATTCCAGTAGTCGTATACGGAACCATGCGGCTTATAATCAATGAGATATTCTCACTAGAGCAATTTGACAATCAGCAACTCGCGAAGTACATGCGATGCATGTTCCAAGCTATCCTACCCCTGGATGACAACCTTGCTTTCCAGGTTGTGGAACAAGCAGTCCAAATAGCACGCGAAGGAAGCCAAGTAAGTGGTTCTCATCACTATAGATTCTTGGTGGGGTTCATTTTCAGGGAGGGCTAACATTTATCCCAGATGCGGAAGCCTTTCCCTGCAGAGGACTTGGACTGGATCATCGCAACAACATTTAATCATGCGATTGATATCTTGGCGAGAGGTGACAAGGATCTATGTCAGCAATGGGCTATGAAGGCCCTTGACCTGACTGAATATATGGATGATAATGGCGATATACGGGATGTGCTGCGTGAGAGAGTTGTCAAACTGGGCTTGAGTAAAGGGGCACCTAGCTGAGTTCCGACATCGACGTATTCTTGATTCACACCGATGTTGACGCACTTTTCTCTTCAAATTGGTACCGGAATATAAATGAAACGGTCTTGATGGGATATCCAAGCTGAAACTTGTCTCGCACATCTTGTGCTACCACACAAACGGTAAATTCGTGTATCCATTATAACCGTTGCAGAAGATATACAGCTCTATGGGTCATGTCCCAACAACGCCGGGTGCGCCTCCGTGCTATGCAAAATCCTATACTCATCTCATGCAGCGCGTGGTATCTTCGTACAGATTCTCCCCAAGCAGTGCGTACTATACTATACTACCTGGAAGCAGCTATACGCAAAACAATATCAGGACGCCATGTCAAAACAAAATGCACCAAAACGCTGTTTATATGCGCCTTGTTCCTTCAACTTTTGCAGGTGAGCCATCTTCCAGCACTAGACAAGGAAGATAAGGCTCATAAAATAAACATTAAAATCGCTTTCATAATTCCCCGCCAAACTCTTTATATAATGTTGGCGATACTCAACCGCTCTTTGCTCGTAGTTGCGGCGGTTGCGCTTCCACTCGGTGTCCTGTTGCCTCCTGCCACGGGGCTCACCGCTGTACCTCCCTCGCCCAACTTGGGTATCTCAGACCCGAAACGCGATACATCGCCTAGCCTTGGGAGTTCCACCGCTGGGCCAGGCGTCTCGCTCTTGATGGGCGGAGGTAGTGTCCAAGTTGCACTCGAGGGGGTCGGAGTCGTGGCTGGCACACCATCCAGACCACGAATGGCCGTCTCGAGCCTTGCCCATCCACCCCAATCTTTGTTGTCGACTTCATCCAATCCCGTACGAGCCTCAGGGCTGAATAACTCGTTTCTGGTGGCCGATGTGGGATACTGAAACGGCGACGGGGACTGGTGCAAATGGATTTCTCGCTCTAGGCCTGCCCAAAGCCACGAGGCATCAGTTGATGCCTGAAGATCAGCAGAAACGTATACAATCAAATCCTCGTCCCGTGACAGCATTTGTAGAAGAGCTGCTTGGTCTATCGATGGCCTTGAAGAACCAAAGTGTGGCGGGGCACTCCTTGCTAGGTAGTTTGTACACTCAACTCTCTTGGCTGCCAAGGCGGATACAAAAAACGACAGGTAACGACCGCATGCGATTGTTATATCCCTTTGTCGATCGATGGAAGCCAGTGCTCTCACGGCCGTCACTGCACGGTCTATGTAGCCTGTAAGGAGAAGAAACAGGGCACAACGAAATATGTGAGTGGTCAACAAGGTGGTTGCACTGTCGGCCAAGAGGCTTCCGTTTAATCGATGGAGCAGAGACACGGTTTCGAGAGCAATGTGAGTGCAGCTTTCGAGAGAAGCCATCCGAGCCTCGAGGGGGTACACTGGATCGAGATGATGCCGATGCAGGAGAAGACGAGCGTGAAATAGGTATGCCAACGGAGCAAGAAAGCCAGGTGCAAGGGGCACGCTGCTCGAAGGGTCGCATGCTGGCGGAAAGGTGTTCAGGCATTTCTTCAGATGGGTGTCTAGGGTTGAAAGATGAACTGATGACATCGACTGGGGTGTCAGCGCTGTAAGAAGCGACGAATACGACCGTACAACATGGATAACGGCTAGTAGAGAGTGAGTCAAAGGTTCTGCTCCCGTGGGCACCAACATGCCTCCTTCGTGGATAAACTGATCGTCAACTCCGGCTGGCAATGACACGTCGCAGTCATCATCGTCGATCATAACGGGTCGGCTCAGCTCAGTAGCCAAGGTCCTGTCCAGTATATATATCATCCACCAGGTCCTGCGTCGCATCTCTCCTTCAATCACTGGCCATGGTCCCGATTCAACGTGCATGCCGAGATCTTGAGAAACACGGACAGCCCTACCCAACCATCCCCAGGCCGCCGACTTCAGGTTCATCTCGTTCAGGCAGAGAGTTACTAACGTTAGTGCCCGCGCATGTTCCAGAGTAAAGTCGTTTGTCCATGGGTCAATCATCTCGTTGGCCATCTCAAGATATTCGGCAGGTTCGTAAAAGGAGTTTGGCTGGGAGCTTGATGTTGGGCTGAAGAGACTGCCAGTTGCCAGGACCGCGAAGAACATAGAAAGCCAAGTTGGGGACATTCTGTTCGACGCATTGCTGTTGTAGAGGTCGTTGATGGTAGATCGGAACGATGGCATGTGTATGATCGGAAACATGGAGTGGGACGAGTTGCAATAGGCATGCAGCAGTTGGTCTACCACATGCCTAGCAGGTAACTCTGGTCTCGGGGGGTCGAAGAATATAGGGGCTCGTTCACGATACTGGGCTGGGAGTTTCCAGATACCTCTCGAAAAATCGCGTACATTGGCCCTCGCTCTCGCTAGCTCTGGAACCGGTGCCGGTCTCTTTCGTCGCTTCGGTTCGGATCCAATGGCTGGTAAGCTAGAGCTGTTCTCGTCACCTCCTTCGGCATCGAGGTCCATGGGCCCTTCTCGATCCTGAAGCATACGGCGCAGTCCACTGTTCTCCCTTTTCACTCGTTCCATTTGCTTCTCCAAGTCCTGCACCTGTTTGATAGACGACATACGCCGGTTCGTCTCCTTGGTGAATTGACATTTGACATTTCGACTTGAGCACTCCGAGCAACTTGTCGTCTCGGTTGCGTCACATTTCACCTTTCTTTCTCGACAAGCATCGCAACTGGGGTCCTTCCTTCGCTGTCGGTATGCTCTCTTCTGTCCCTGGCCACCTGGTCCTGTTAAGTGGGCGGATGATGGTCCCGGAGTGCTGGCTACAGATTCATTCGAAGCGAGTGAATCGTGTCCAAGAGAAGATGATGTGGTCATTGGGCCGTACGGTTGAAAGCCCTGAGTGACTGGAGGTAGAGGGGGAATGCCAATAGGTTGGGGCGTTGCCGGAACATTCAAGCGTGGGTTGGTACTCATGGCCCCTGGCGCAAACTGGGACAAAGATTTGGGGGAAGTTGCAGATGAGACTGAAGACGAGTCGTAGGATCTGTTTGAGAGATTGGGCGAGCGAGCATAAACGTTCTGCGGTGTTGACATAGCTGGGTGCCCTCTCGGTGCCCAGCCTCTACTAGGATCTGTCGAGGAAGCCTCAAAAGGTCCCCCAACGGGATGAACGTTAGGGGGGCGTCGGTCAACGAGCATAAAGGTAACTCTGTTGAACGAAAGCTGCAGGTCGTCAAGTACAAAGTGGGCAAACTCCCGTTTCTCGCTTTGCTCGGAAAGAAGAAGCTAGGATATGCCGTTTGTTTGTCAATTAACCCTGCAACGGAGCCTTCAGTAGTCTTTGCCGCCAGTGTCCTAGTCCGCAATCAACAGTGTGAATTCGTCTCTGCGAAATGGATATCTTGAGTGTCGCGAAGCTGTGCAACCCAAGACCTTTTTGCTCCGAAGTGGTTATTCGGCTCATCACCTTGTTTAACACTAGGGATAGATTGCGGGTTTCCCAAACCACAATGCTTGGACCAGGAACGGCTAAGCAAAGCTCTAGGCGGTTACCGTTGTACCTGATAGCACTCCTTCTAGACTTAGAATGTCTATTTGGGGTCCAAAGTTCCAGTGGTAGGTGAGAGTATCTGCGGCTCGGAGTACTGGCCGAGTTAGAACGAGTGACTTCAAGAACAACAAGAGCGTCGACTGTGTGTTGAAGTCACAGCCTTAGAGATCCGGGACAATCTGTCGTTGTGGAAGGTCCTGCGAAGAAGAAAAGAAAAGGCGAGGCCACGAGGCCGGAGCTGACGTCGTTAGGTTTGGCTCACGGCGACTAGGCTGAGAGAAAGAGGAAATGTACCGTATGGAAGAAGAGGCGCCTGCAGGCAGGTATATCGCTGCTTGTCACTAGCTACCTGGGCGGGCACAACAGCAGCAGCAGGAGCAGCACCGTGTTAGTGGCGCTGGTCCGTGATCCGGGGCTCTCCGCGCGGAAATATTATCTGGGCCAGGCGATGGTAGATTGGGGGGGAGGGGTGGCCGGACCCTTGACGAGTTGGCTGAGCAGGGCTGTTGAGAGATCAGCCATGGCCGCTAATGTGTTTCGGGCGGAGACGGGCATCCTGGAATATGTTGCTAGTCATAATCCTAGATCCTAGGAGTATATCCATCGATCCAACATGTACCAACCCAATGCCACCCTCGGATGTCAGAACTCGGGTCCGTAGTGAGATCTTGGACTTGATCATCAACAAGAAGACCCTGTGCGCCAATTGCTCTCAGCTATGCATGACTTGAGGACAAATATAGGCCCTCAAACCTTGGTTGGTTCTGTAAGCGCACTATAAGTTCAGTGACCAACGACTGAGTGAGCCATTTCCCAGCGCTGTGCTGACCGATATGCCCGTCTGGACCAAGCTTTTCTCGGCGCTGGTCTGCTGAGAAAAGCTTGGTACTTCCGGAAGACGTTATGCACAAACAAGCCGGTCGATATTCGGTCATCTTTGCCTTGTGTTATCCGCGATGCCATGTGCTACCCCCGCGCCTAGATCGGCGTGTCTTCTTGTAGTAAGGTCGGTCAAGTTCGTAGATGAGGCCCAGAAAATTCGCCGAATCTCAACTTCCAGTCTCAGACACATTGACTTGATTTTAATGTACAAGATACCACTATAATAAACCAGATCTATCCCCAGATCCCCCGGGCATAACACATTGCAATAATATGCAGCAGAACCGAAGTTCGTATGTATCGATCAAAGCGAGTTACTTACGAGATAGTGACATGTTTGCAGGCGATTGCACACATCAGGGTGTAGTCTCAGAACTGAAACACGTCGTCTGTGCGGTCTGGCATGGTTCAGCGGTATCTGGTTACTAGACTGCTTGACTAGTGGAGCTATGGAGCTCAACCAGTGCATACTGGACTGCGCAAGGCTCACTAACTCCTGATTCATGGTTGTCATGCCAGATATGTGGCGTCAGCAGCCGATAAACAGTTTGAGGCCAGGGATAGAATGGTGATGTAGACGGGAACTAGAATAATTAGTCGCTCTCGCGTTTGTGTGCAGTCCGA